GAAGATGTTTTGAGATGAGAGTGAATACTGAAATGATTGCAAATTGTGATCCATGTTGCTTTTGGCTATATTTTCAGATTTTGGCACCAAGAATGTTAATATCTATTTTGGAGTTTATTAATAATATAAACATTTTTCCACATGTCATGTATCAGTATGTTATGAACTTCAAGTCAGTACTTTGAAATCAGACAAAAGACAATTAAAATGGCACATGCAACTCGTGGCTATTAATATTTCAACAACCTTGCATCTTAAGTAAATACCCCATTATGTATTCAAGAGGCGACTAGATATAGCACTTGGGGCGAATGGGATCAAAGGTTATGGGGAAAAAGTAGGATTAGGCTATTGAATCGAACAATCAGCCATGATCGTGAAGAATGGCAGAGCAAGCTCGGAGGACCGAATGGCCTCCTCCTGCTCCTGTCTTCTTTGTTTCTATGCTTCTATTAAATATGGACATGCACTGCCTTCTGGAGAATTTCACATCCATTGGTTTAAGAATGTATCAGCAACAAATGAGCTTTATGTTCCCCTCTCTGTTTCACCTGGATAACAGGGTATATTGAATCTTAATGTGCATAAGACAAATAGGAATCAATCCTATCATTGTCTAATATATTATGATGGTTCATTCATCAGAACTAGACTGGTTCAATTGCAAATGACAACAAAGGATGATTGGAATCAATAGGCAATTGTTTGGGGAAAAAACAAGGGGCTTGAAAGTGATGAGGGAACTATTTTGATTATCTTCTTTTAAAATCAGCAAAAAAAAAACTGCTTGCAGACAGAAAGAACTTCACCAAAAGCCATTAAACTAGCTACAAGTCATCCAAAGAGTAAAGGGTCTATTCCTGCCTTGGCTGCAATTATTGCAGCTCCAGGTGGGACAATAGAGTTGGTCCATCAGACTGGTAAATCAGTGCAGCAGCATGTCAGTTGGCACAGTGACCTCGATCTGCACGAGTTGGCATGACTGTAGGTCTGGAAAGTTATAGAATAGAGGGAACTAGTGGAAAATTTATTGCATTCAGAGTAACCCTTAATTGTAGTATTAAGTAGTGGATATGAAAACAAAGGGAGAACGTTGTGCTAACAAATTATATTTTCACATGGGAGGAAACCTTAAATAACAAAAAAGCTGCCAGCTGACATAACGAATACTTCCCGTCTGAGATTTTCACCCCTTTAAAATGACAATCTTTACAGGCATAAGAAGCAAAATATAGTTACACTAATAATTAGGTTGTGTTGAAATCACTCACATAGCAAAACTTTACTCCTTAACAAACCCCTGGTGTGATAGTAAAATTATGTATATTTTAAAAATAACTAACGGTCCTTCTCGAGTAAGTGGCACAACTTCCAAGAAGAGGGCATGTGGAGAACCTTTTAGTTAATGAACTACATGATGATTTAAATCACAATGAAGTTAATACAAAGTTGTTTTGGCTCTCTGCACTTAGTAACGAAAGAATGCTTGCCAAACTGGACCACTTTCAATAACGCTTACTTTCACTCACCAATTGTAGGTTAGACTTTTCTGCTAATGAAATAAGGTTCTTGCATTACAGCTAACAGCTTTCAATCATTGAAAAAGCTTTGTAAATTAATTTGCTGAAATAACTAATGGAAAAAAAAAATGAAATTGTGAGACAGCAGATTTTGCATCAGTAATAAAATTGCTGCTTTATAATAAGACACATTCCAGATCTACTTTTCAGATTAGGTATACAGTCATGAAAATATTTGATGTGTTATTTTAGCTGAATGCAGCATCTGATATCATTCAAACATCACAAAATTTCTTTAATCTGTTGCATCTTTATTTTCAAAAACAACAGTTTTGTTCTGTTGTAAAATAGTACTGTTAACACAGAATTGCCATGACCAAAATATAATACCGTGATCCCTGTACAGGCTGATAACTTTTTAAACATATGAATTTTCCAGTTACTAACTCAAAGGATCCCATTAGATAATACTATGTTTTAACAAACATGCACCAATCAACACAGACTAAACACTGAATTGAAACCAAAAAATGCTGGAGAAATGCAGCTGACCTGATAGCATCTGCGGAGAGAGAAATTGAGTAAATACTTTTGATACAAAGTCTCTTTTTCAGAACCCAATTGTAGAACATTGCTTTTAAAAATTAAAAATTATTTAATATGTAACCAAAATGCAAAACTACAAGAAAGGTATAAATACAAAGTATTGCAGATACTGGTAATCTGAAGTATGAACAGAAACTGGTCGGGAAACTGAACAGTGACTGTGTAGAGAGAAACAGAGTTAATGATTTGAGTCCAATAAGACTCTTCAGAAAAGAGATATTTTGGAATCAAAATATTAAATCTGTTTCTCTCTACACAGAAGTTGCCAGACCTGCTGAATGTTCCTCCCCTAACATATCCAAAAACCCCATAACACATCAATTATATGGTTCTCTCAAAAAACTTAAGCTTCTCCTGACTTAAGCAGGATTTTCTTCTCTCCCTCCAACACCAAGGTGAAACTTAATTCTCATAAAAGGCCATGAGTCTTTGGAAGTCTTTTCTTCAAGAAGTGGTAGAAGCAGCAACCTTGAATATTTTTAAGCCAGAATTAGATAGGTTCTTGATAAGTATGGGGGTGAAAGGTTATTGGGGATAGATAGGAATGTGAAGCAATCAGACCAGCCATGATCTCACAGAGTCACAGAGCAGGTTTGAAGGAATGAATGTACTACTCCACGCATGATTCATATGCTGTTCGTTCAATCTCCTAGGCAGAATCTAATGGATTTACTACAGCAAAGTATCCTCTGGAAACTATGGTTTTGACTCTCCAAAATCCTTTCTTCAAACAAGGGTTCTATTCTCACCAGAGATAGTAGGAACTGCAGATGCTGGAGAATCTGAGATAACAAGGTGTAGAGCTGGATGAACACAGCAGGCCAAGCAGCATCAGAGGAGCAGGAACGCTGACGTTTCGGGCCGAGACGTCTAGGCCCGAAATGTCAGTCTTCCTGCTCCTCTGATGCTGCTTGGCCTGCTGTGTTCATCCAGCTCTACATCTTCTTTTCTCATCAGCAGTCCACTTGATGACTAACCCAAAAGCAGTCCCTTTTCTTGGGCCTGACGTAGCTGCACTTACTTTTCATTTCTCACCCAAATTCTTACATGACTATGCCTGACACTTCATAAGTCTATGAGCCATGAACAGTTTCTTCTTTGCGTCAACAGTTTACATTTTGACTTGAGTTTGAGTAAGTTCCAATTTATGTTGTTATCTATATAACAAGCAGATCATAAGGGTTTGTCTCCAGGTAGATTTAGGAAAAGGTTCCACCCCCTTTCCAAACCAGTCCATTTACTTTGAATTAAAGGAGATAGTTTAAAACATAACCATCATATAAAGTCTAACATTCATAATATCACCTCCTTAATATACAAAAGTCATTATTGTAATGACTTTTCTACATTATAAAAATAAAAGAGGGTTGATCAGCAATTTATCCACTACGTAACAAGATTAACTGGTTATTCATCGTACTATTATATGTGTAGTCTTGCTGTGCATAAATTATTTATCAGATCTATAAACATGAAAAAAGTGATTATACATTGAAAATACATAATTGACTTTGAAGCAGCTAGTGATATCTTGAGGGTGTGAAATGCATTTTACAATGTAAATTGTTTATTTGTATTCTTAAATTATGTTTAAATCTCATAGGATTAGCATCATAAAGCAGCAATGTGTAAGAAGTTGATTAGATCTTGGTTAATGAGTTATTCAAACAGCGCCTCCCAAAGAGCATTTCACATTGAGAAAGTAGAAATGAATTTGGAAATTCCTTAAGCATCCACTCTGTTATGTTAAAATGACAGCTGGGCTTACTGCAGGAGACTTCCACTAAGGATGTTTGTGGCCAATTTAATTGGCAGGACAACTGACCCTATTATAGTTAAGAAGAGCTCACCAGAATGTCAAAATCAAGAAATTGGCTTCCTGCATAACAAAACTATAAATAGATAAATAACATACAGGCACAACTTAAGTCAGTATGGAAGTGCTGGCAACGGAAGACATAGTGAGAGACAGTGATCCTCTTAATCTTGTACAGTATTAATCAGGTTCAAAGAAATTACTGGTCAGAGGAGTTACACTAGTTCACTAACAGGGGAACATGTAACTTCTTTAGTTATCTTCAATGCTACAAATTCATCATAAAACAAGTTAGGGCCCTCTTCTATCCGCCTCCCACTCTCTCCCTATTTATTTCAAAACTCCCTTCCCCTCCCCCTTTTCTGATGAAGGGTCTAGGCCCGAAACGTCAGCCTCTCTGCTCCTGTGATGCTGCTTGGCCTGCTGTGTTCATCCAGCCCTGCACCTTGTTGTCTCGGATTCTCCAGCATCTGCAGTTCCTACTATCTCTAATTCAGTGGGGATCATTTTGTTATTTCATGTACTGTTAACAAAATAATTCAACCTGTTGAATTACATTCGTTAAATAGGCCACCTTCTCCCACTTTGGAAATTACAGTATCCAGTTCAAATAATAAAAGTATTAACTTTAAAATGGGTCTCATGCTATTATAGAAATAGCATCTGGCTGTAAAATAGTAAGCATCTAATCATAAGACGATAAGCAAAATACTGAAATACTGGAGATCTTGATTTGAAGAAGAGTCACATTGGTCTTGAGATGTTAACTCTGTTTCTCTCTCTATAGATGCTGCCAGACCTGCTGAGCTTTACCAGCAATTTCTGTTTTTATTGCCTGATCATGAGAGACTAGCATGCACATACAAAAATACTATTGATGCCAAACTTGACAGAATATTTAACATCTGCAACTGTTCAATATAAACAAAACAGAAATAGTATTCAATAGAATCAGAACTACATTCAAACACAGTTAAGTCTTCAACCTTTTTCACTGCTGTACTTTCACATTTAATTAAGATAGCCATGAATCACTCTTAAAAAGTGAGAACACTTACATGTGTGGTCCAAGTGTTGCAGTTTTGACTATAACTATTACCAATATGACAATAGTTAAAACAAGTGAGGAAAATGACACCTAAACAGATAACAAAAAGGAAGTAAATTGCTGTTTATTCAATAATCTTATGTCAAACTAACAAGCTAATCTCCACAACACATCAAAATAGAAGAAAATTAACACCAGAAGAGAATTTTTAATCCAAAACAAAGGATCCCAAATTTACATTGAAGGACTAACTTGATCCTAAAATCCAGGATGTCCTATCATTTGTATCTATCATAGCACTGTAACTTGTAACTAGTTGCTAACATGCAATAAATTACTTTTTAAAAACACATAGTCTCTTCCATTTAGACCAATAAGTGGCTTTCCTCTACCACACTAGACCAAGCAGGTCTATTAGATGGTGACAGCAAACCTACCATATAGTGAGGTGCAGATACAGTTTAGCTGTACATGCAGAAGCAGGGCATTTGACATAATGCAAGAAGATACGTGAACTAGTTGGCCCACTTCTGTTTTTTACATTTTTCAAGAATTCAATTGCTACTTCAAAAGCTTTTGGGCCTAATATTTTTCACATCTGTTGGACTTTCTGGAGACTGGTTAATTTCAGTACTTCATGGATTTTTCTGTGGCTTAATTACAAGATGAAATTAATTCATCTTCCGTGACTTGTCTGAAATAAAGTATTTGGATTTATATAGTGCCTTTCGTTGACTTGAAATCCAAACAATTTTGCAATCTGAAATGCTGTGAATGCAGTTAATTAGTTACCAAATAGGGAAATGCAGTAACACATTTGTACAGAATAAGGTTCCACAAATAGCAATGGGGTGAATAAACAAGCTGAATTTAAAAAGTACAGAGATCATCTTAAAAAGGGATAAGCAGGACAAAGAAATGTAGAAAAATACGAGGCTAACACAAAAAAAATCTCAGAAATACAATAATCATAACAACGGATGACCAAAAGTAGAATCACAGAGAAACATTTTAAGGAATGTTTTAAGGACCTGACAGCTATGGAGGTTGAAAAGTTGAATAAGGGAATACTAGACCATAGATGCTCAACTCTAAAACAACTAATGTTGCAACTAAAATCATGGGTACATGTGACATCAAAATGAGAGGGCTGCAAAAATCACACAGAATAAGGAGCTACAGGAGTTAAGAGAGTCGTGGGGCCATGAATTGACTTGAAAAGAACATAGAACAGTCCAGCACAGCAGAGGCCCTTCGGCCAACAATGTTGTGCCAGCCTATTATCCTACTCTAAGATCAAACTAACTTGCATACCTTTCATTTCACTATCATCCATGTGCCTACCTAAGAGTCGCTTAAAATGTCCTTAATGTATCTGACTCTACTACCACCACTGGCAGAAGGATCCGAATGTTAAAATCAAAGTGATTTGGTTGGTCACTTAGCAAGGTCAGGGATGATGGAATTTGATGCGAGTTAGAATATTATTAGCAAAAGTTTAGATTTGGGATCAATCCATATGGCAGTTTATCTAGTGGACAAAACCCAAAGCACAACTGGGGAACAGCATCCAATAGGTGTCCTGATGTACACGGTCATACACAAAAATGAATTGTCATTCATGCTTAATTACATCACGAGCAAACGAGATGCAAATCATCTCTGGAGGTCACTCAAAGACTGGGGTATTAAATTGCACCTGATGGTCCGGAGACCAAGAGAAGCATGGCAGCTAGTTGTTGAATGGATGCTAGCTTAAGGGCATAGAAATATTGATGGGTGATTGACCTGAGTTGATCACACCCCAACACATGATATTATTGAGAATGATCGTGTATTCTTTGGATGGGACAAGCAGCTCATTGAGCCAATGATGTGTAAACTATCATGGGCAATGGTGGTAACCAGGAGGTAACATTTAAAATCAAATAATGGTAAAATTCTTTGAAAAGCTTTTGAACAGGTGAATACAAAAGATGAAAGAGGGATATTCAGATTGGAAGGTAGCGATGCTGGTGAAAAAGGGTCCTGTTAAACCTGGTGAATGGCAGAAGTTGATGCCTGATGTATGGAGGAACAAACATGGCATATTTGTATAACAAAGTGTATAGTTTACAGACACATCATCATTTCAGGACTGTTGCCATCACGATAGAGAATGTTTGCAAACTTGATGACTCGGGCCTCTAGAAGATCATCCCAGACACAGCATGTCATTTCCTTGAGGGCAGTTCCAGATCCAGACATACCAGTGATGAATTGTTTGGATATACATGATCAGTTGTAGAGTGTGGCCTCTTCATAGAACATTTTGTTTTATTCCTGGACAGGATGTGGGGTTTGCTAGACAGGCAAGGTTTTATTTCACATCATGAATTATGATTGAGAAGTATATAGTGAGCTGTGTTTGTGAACCATTGTGGTAGCAGTGGTTGGGAATACCCACAGAATGGCTAGGAAGGGAACTCCAGTATTTTGCCCCAGGTACAGTGAGGAGATGGAATGTAGTTTCCAGTCAGTTGCTTGGAGAGGAAGTTGTCGGTGGTGGGGTTCCCGTGTATCTGCTGCCCTTGTTCTTGGTAGAGTTGCAGGTTTGGAACAGGTTGTCTAAAGAGGCCTTGGTAAGTTGCTGCAGTGCATTTTTAGATGGTACAAACTGCTGCCACTGTGCATCGGTAGAATAGAAAGTACATGTTGAAGTTGGTAGATGTGATGCCAATCAAACAGGCTGCTTTGTCCTGATGTTGTCAAGCTTCATGAATGTTTTTTTGAAGTTGCACACAGCTAGGAAAGTGGAGCATATTACATCACAACCTGGCATACGCATTGTAGGTGGTGGGCTGACTTTGAGGAGTCAGAGCCATGACTCAATGGCCTTCATGGCCATCAACATTTTGTTTCAACTCCATATGGTTATCTTTGGCACACAGCAGAAGGTGATGTTTGTGCTTGGAGGCTGCACAGTACCCAAACTGACATTACTTGAAGGGTCAACTTGGTCATTGCAACCTGCGAATGTTGGACTGAAGATGCTCACATACCCCTGAATGAGTGTGTGAGCCTGAGAATGTGTATGCTGGACAAGATGTGATATGGATCCAGAAGAACAGGCTCTGAGAACAGCCAATGGCGCTTACGTATGATACATTGCTGTGTCATGTCATTCTGAGAATCTTCATTGCTGGTCTTATTCAAGCAAAACACTAACTTGTAAAACAAGACTCGCAGTTCACAGGAGAAGTTTGTGACGCAAATTCTATCAGCGATACTAGCCAAAATATATGATGGAAGCTAACTTGGGTGGATCGATACACTGTTATCTTGAAAAACAGGCAATGGCACAACTGCAAATGTGTAGGTCTGCAAGATATTCTGATCATTAGTGAAACTCCCTGGCCAGGCTTTCATTAACTTTGAGGGAGCTTGCCTCTCTCTGTGTGGACTGGAAGAAGCAGGAAATCCAAAAGCGGATGTGGTGGAGCCACCAACCAGCACTAGGTACATATCTGTACAAATTGACATATTGGTTTCTAAGAGCAGAATGTGTGCAAGTACATTCACATCAAGTTTTTCCACAACGAGGTCTTCAAAGCAAGGGTGCAGTTGCCTCTGGACAGATAAAAGTATGTTTCACCAACACCATCAGCCTGGTGATCTGACTCAAACAAACTCTTTAGTGGGACTCTGAGCCTCACAGCTGTGGAAATGTGGATTTTCTTGCCGGTGATTCCACTGTCAACAATGAATAGCACAGAACTTGAAGAAAGTATTTAAGTTGTGATTTTTTTCTAATTTAACCTTCTTTTCCCCCCCTTACCAACCTGTTCAGAGATGTTATTACACACCTCTAGAGCAGGTGGGCTTGAACCCAGGTCTCTTGGTTCAGGGCTAGGGACATTATCTCTGCACCACAAGAGAGGTCATGAATTTGAGTGATCGAGAAATCTGTAAATGGAATGTGCTGATTCCAATAAAACATCATCAAGCTCCTCATCCCATTCATTGAATAAAAGCAGCTGCATTGACATAATTCATCCTCCAGGATAACTGTTACCTTAAGAACTATAGCTATAAAATAGTTGTTTTAATCTGGAAGAAAATGATGGTTGCTCAGGAAATGTTTATAATGCACCTGCATAAACAGTATTACAACTGTCTTGGTAAGGAAGGGAGTTATGCTGGTCTTGTTAGATGAGTGTAAAACATTCTGGTGCTTCTAGTTAAGTGGAAGTTGCAATACAGAGAGTCTTAACAACACAAGATGCACGAATCTCATTTAAGAGTGAAACTAAGGCTTGGGAGTATTCTGGCTTGAAGGATGCCAGGGTACATGACCTGAATCTGGCTACATACCTCTGCATCATTAGACATGGTAGGTGAGGATGAATGAGTTGTAGCCAAGGTAGGACCACTTAGCTCTCTTTCCACTCTTCATCCTCATTGAGTGGCAAACTGTGATGCCCATCTGACAGCAAGAGGTTACCCTCGAAGAGGGCTATTGGGCGGTGTTAGAGATCCTCAGGGCTTTCATCTGACTGCATTTCATTCCAAAATCAACCAAGTCTGACAGTCGAGAACCTATGGCCTGGTAACCATCATGCAGAGAGAGCTTGCTATGTTGAAGCAGCTGATATTGATGCAGTAACTATAGATTTGCTTAATATGATGGGGCAGTAATTCACTTTCTATCCTAATATCATTCGAATACATTGTGAGCAGCAAGTTCTATAGAAGTCACAACACCTCCTGCCTTTCTGAATTATGAAGAAGGTTTGTCTTGATCACTTTTCACAGGAGAAAACACTAATGAGTAAAGGCAAGGTTAGAATCATGCATCAAAATGTAGCTTAAGTTCTACTGCCAATGATCAAATGAATTGTCTGGATCCTCCCTAATCCTAGTGCATAGCTGCCAGAGTTTCTGCTGTTATCAGAAAGTAATCCTGTCAGTATGCATGTATCTGTGCAGCAAAAACTCCCTAATTTCTTTTGATGGCAGATGTGGAAGCATTCCAAAGCTGCCACCATACCAGCAGGTTATGAAAAGTGTTTGGGTGAAAACCTCTATCTTCAGCACAACCACAAAAATCAACAGTGCAATGGAAAACTAAAAGAGCTGTGGATGTTGGAAAATCAGAAACAAAAACAGAAGTTGCTGGAGAAACTCAGCAGTTCTGGCAGCATCTGTTGAAAGTTAATGTTTTGGGCCTATTGATCCTTCTTCAGAACTGATGGTTGCTAGGAAAAGCTTGTGTTTATTCAGAAGGAAAAAGGACCGGGGAGGGAGGAGAATAAACAATAGATGGAGATAGAATCCAAAGAGGGAGAAACACAATTGGACTGACAAAAGAGTGGCTAAAGGTCAGTCTGGGGGAAAGAATAGCTGGTAATGGGGCCTTTGAGTAACTGATAATGGGTTGTGAGTGGTAGCAGCCCATGTAATGACAAGGCTTGGTCTGTGGGAGTTGGGGTAGGGACATAAGAGAACATGTCTCAAGCCTTAAAATTGTTCAACTTGATATTAAGTCCACAAGACTGCAGAGTTCCCAAGTGTAAAATGAGGTGCTGTTAGTCCAGCTTGCACTCAGCTTCATGAGGCACTGCAGCAAGCCTGAGACAAGATGCTGGCCAGGGAACACATTGGTGTGTTGAAGTAGCAGGCAACTGGAACCTCAGTCTTTTTTGAGGACAGAATGTGAGTGTTCTGCAATGTGATCACCTAGTCTATGCTTCATTTTCCCAATGTCGAGGAGACCACATTGTGAGCAGTGAATGCAGATTGGTGCAACAATGGCTCTGCCCAGATGAGAACTGGGCTCCCAGCTACCATAGGGCGATAAAGTTTGGTACACTGATACCTAATATTGAAGTTCAAGGTTTTCTTTTACTAGAGTACAGATTACAGCAGTGAATAAATTACCCACACAAAAAAAAAACTTTAACTATTGGGAGTTAAAGTTCAAAGTTAAAACAATAATCACCTTTCCTAAATTAGCAATGTTGCGATACAAGGACAATGGAAGAGTAAGCAGAATGGTTGTTAGCATAATTACAAAGTGTCTGTCAGCTAATATGCTTCCAGGACCCACTGAAAAAGATAAACAAAGTGTTAGAATTTAATTTTACTGAGATTTTCTGACCTGATAATTCACAATACTCTACTTATTTACGTATTTACATGGCAACAACATTTATGTTGAGTTGAATTTCATGTAATAATGGGCCAAATCTTCTGGTCTCTGAATCATTGGCGTTTTGGATGTATGGCTGAAGATGCACATCTGGACCTATGGAAAATCTGCTGTGCAGAGCTCCATGGGAATTGATTGGGAACTTTTACTTTCCCAACTCTAAGCTAGTTCTGACTTACATACCTGGACAGTAACCTGTAACATATTTGAAAAGTCCTTGTCTAATTCCTAAGTACCTGAATACCCATCCTCCAACTGTGTCCACCTTGGCCAAACCCTCTGACTGTGTCCCCCAATTAACCCATTATCTCTCCAACCCACCCCAACCAGACCTGACCACCCTACTACCCAGCTTCCCCACTGACGTTCTGCCTCTCCCCGATTCAACTCTACGTATTTCCCAAAACTCATAGCCCCCAACATCTAACTGGCCCACACACTCTGATTGATGTGACAACTGCTCCTGATCCATGTACCCACTTCAACCAGCTGCCACCTTACCATCCTACTACCCTACTTTGCCAAGGTTCCACCTTACCCAGCTGCCACCCACTAAGTGACTAACTTCACCCACTCACCTACTTCATTCACTCACCCTACCCCTTACACAACTACATATTCATCTGTCTACTCACCCACACAATGAAATGCTGTTCAATGTCCCAAAACATTTCAGTGCAGTCGTGTATGCTCACCGGAATACAGCAGCTAACACTGTAAAAGGCTCATCTTCCTTTGGTGGTACAGCATTAAGAAGAAGAACTCCAATTTCAGGTGTGGTCCACGTGGCTGAAGAAAGCCAGGACCAGAAGTCCCAACCCAAAATGCAGTTATAGTGGTCAAAAAGAGGAGTAGAATTCTAATTTGATGGTGATTTGCATTATTAGGAAGATTTCAGTGAGGGTGTTCTGATTGAACTTCTAGCTCCTAATTACACTATACCCTTTAGCCTCACTAGCTATGATAATTAGAAAACTGGTTACTTGACCACTTTGACTTCCACATGAAAACACAATTGAAGTTACCAGGTTAAAGAAAGATGAAAAATTATTGCTATCCATGTATTGAAAGATGGTAAGTTAAAGTTGTCTTTCTCCATATCATTAGCCTAGATGATCCACGCAGTGGCAATCATGATGAGATTGCTGCTGCAATTGAAAATCCAGTCTCTTCCCCACCTCCACCACCACCCCCCCCCCCCCCCCCCCCCCCCCCCCCC